GGGTGCAGGGGGGAGGGCGCAGCGCCTCCCCCCGCGAAGCGTCACCGGAAAGCTTCTCCCCCCGCGAAGCGTCACCGGAAAGCTTCAAGAAAGTTTCACTACATTTGAGACTAATTTCATTATATTTGAGACTAAGCACCGGTGTGCCGGGGAAGGCATGGGAAGGTGATGGATGGTACACACGATGAAAACATGGCTCGCTCCTTTTCCTGCGGGCTGCTGTCTGGCTCAGGGCTGGTTCACCCACTGGCTCTTGGCACTTGAAACCACACCATGGTGAAGCTGAGTAAGTTATGGTCTTAATGGCTATAATTCTAGATTCTAAGAAAATCAAGACGCCAATCTATGCCAACTAGGTCCACAAAAACCTGGCAGCTTTGCTGTTCACACCAATCTCACAAGGACACCAGGAACGAGTTCCAAGTCGTGGTTCAAGAAATACAGAGGTTTACCTTGGCTGGCAATGAGGTCCCAAAGGTTCAGTACCTCTCACCCCTCACTTGACATTTGACCACTTTTTGTGTCAAGCGACGTGGGGATATCTCCTTGGATGAGAACAAGGTCTGCTTTAGAACTGATTGGCAGGAAAACAAATGGTTTGCAATAGAAGTGCATTCCAAGTTCATTGGCTTCTTTGTGATACGACACACGCCAAGCTTTGATCAAAAGCTTGCTGGCTTCCAACTCCTCAGAATTGTAAAACAGAGTGAAAAAACCTTTAGCGCTGGGTAGATGTCACACTGACATCAAGCAAGAGGCTGCAACAGTGAAGCAAGATGCAACTGTGGTGTATTTGATGCTGCTCGGGCCATCGGAGTACGAAAAATACATGGGTGTCGCCTTTGGTTTGATGAAGTAGGGTTGTTCACCTCAGACTGAATGGCAATTCAATTTCAATATCGTTCCAGTGGGACCTAGGCTTGATCACTCCTGGTCAAGATGAACCCTCAACAAACAAAGATTGCAGAACTGTTGCATTGCAGATTTTTTTCCCCTAAATAAGCTCCAAACCTTCCTCAACACCGGCAGCCATTGGTGCACGAAGCTCATGGCAGTTTACTGTCGGGTCCATAATGGCATTCCCAGCAAGCTCTTGTAAAAGTTGTCGCCAGGTGCAGACATCGCTGTCAACCACCCCCTTACCATTTTCATCAGGCACTTCCAAAACAACCTTCTGCAGGTCTGATGTCCAAACCACAGGCATGACCCTTGACATCTCACCTGGCATGGGTCATGAGGTTGCAGAGGGATGCATTAGAACATTCACTATTTATAGGCAAAGTACTGTGAATCAAAGCCATCCCGAGCGCATTGTTTCTTTCAGAGCAGGTTGATCTACATCTGTGAGGTCAAAACCACACCTTGTGAACTCTAACTAGCGAAAACCCTGACACGTTTCAGCGTCACCTTTAAATAATTGTAGTATGGCAACCTGGTGCAAGCAATCAGCAAAACGCCTGAGTGCAATGCTTCATGACAGTTTACGAAAAATCAGTGGGTGTCATGTCAAGATCAACACCAGGTTAACCTCCCCAAGACCAGCTGCACAACACCGCGCGCCATGCCATGAGACTGTTCATGGCTGACTTGCAGCAGGACTTTGAACTCTTTGGGACCACAGACCACCAGTGATCTTCAGAGTTATATAAGATCTCTAGCTTTCACCCTTTTCCCCTTCCTCAGAGGCTTCTCCAACATGCGGTTGATTTGCTGCAGCAGGTTCATTCACCTCAGATGGTTCCTCCTCAGGACGAACCGGACTCTGGACAGCTTGATCCCCTGCACCCTGCTCAGCTGCGTCAGGAATAGCTTCACGAAGCTTGCGTTTGGATGGGACAAGGCGCCTCCTGCTGAGCTCGGAGTGCGTGAGGTTCTTCATATGGTTCACACGCTCCGGATGCCCATGCCACCTGGGTCATAGAGGTAATCAATTGCACAAAGAATAGAATTGCATCTTACAGATCGAATTTGTTTGATACCATTTCATTGGCGTTGGAAAGATGTGAACACTCACTGGTCTTAGGATGGCACTCTTGCCTGGCCATGTTCAGAACCTCCTTCTTTGGAAGATTTGGGTGTTGTTCCTGCAGCCTTTGCTGAGACTCATGGATGTGTTTCCAGTACACATCTCGCATGCCCACACGGCCCATCACGCCATTGTTGCCCTGGCAGATGGATGTCCAAATGTGGTGTTTAGATTCAAGCTGTTTTGAAGCAAGTCAATTGATAGTCAAAAAGTGTTCATGGGTTAATTTGGGTACTTTAGAATGATATTTACACTGTAACTAACTGATTAATGAAGGGTACAACTCTAGGATGAGCCATGAAATTGTAAAGATATCGGCCTTCTTTGGTTTGGGCTCATCTTCTCCATCGACCTTCTCTCCTTCATTCTTAGTTTTCCTTTTCTTTGCTCCCTTGGCCTTCTCCCCTGACTTCTTTTCAGCATCCTTCTGTCCATCTGTCTCTCCATCCATCTTTAGCTGCTCTTCATGTCCTTCCTTCTCATCAACCGGCCCATTCTTTGCAGCAGTGCTTGATGAAGCAGCTTCAGCTGCACCATCTCGCGCTGGCTCCTCCAATGGGGAAGCTCTCTGGGCAGCTTTGCGAGGCTTCCTCAAGGCAGGTGTTCTGCCTGCCTTTGCCTTTGAAGTGGGAGCGACAGTGGGCAAGGTGGTGTTGTCACCACCAGGGTTCTCAGCTTGCTGAACCTGCCTGGATTCAACTTCTTGACTCTCCTCCCTGGACTTGTTGTTCTTGGTCTTTCTTCTCTTTGCTTTGTCCTTATCGTCCTCGGGCTTTGTCGGTGCTGGGCCTTGCACAGCTCTTAGGACGCTCTTGGACAAAGATGACTTGGCCACCATAGTAGGCCCAGAAGCAGGCTCAATGACAGGTGCAGAGGACGAAGGATCCCCAAGCTTTGGCGCAGCATTGGTCTTCTCAGGTTCAGGGACCTGGCACAAAGCAAAAGAACAGTGAATGCCAAACACCAAAGAATCTGTTACCTAAAAGCCCAAATGTATATAATTTCATGTTCCAGGATGTTCTAAGTATGGATTGGGTTCCAGCAAGTTTTGGGGGTACAATGTTGCAAATCAACCTGGCCAAGCCTTGCCCGCCACTTCAGCAGGTGACTCTTCATGGAGGTCCTCATATTCTTCCGAAAGGTCTTCCTCTGAATCTAAAGGGTTTGACTCTTCCTCTTCCTCGGTCTTCTTCTTAGTCGCCCTCGTCTTGGACTTAGCCTTGCTTTTGGTGGCTGTCTTTGCCTTGGCTTTCCCCTTGGCCTTGGCTGCTGCATTTTTCCGGGCTGGCTTGTGGGATGCCTTGGCTTCTTGAATTTGCTGCTTGAGTGCTGCAACTCGCTCCATTGACATGTCAGGATCGTTTTTCGGATTCGTTCTTTCCATGGTCATGGGAACCATGGGCGCCGGATTGGCAACTTCCTCAGCTTTTGTTCGTTCTTGACCTTCTTCTTTGATAGGATCTTTCGGAACCAAATTGGAGTTGGCATTGGGTTCACTGGGATGAGGTCCCAAAGGCGCTGGTTCATTCTCTGAAGCACGCTGATTCGGCTTCTCTGACTCTGAAGCAGCCTGGTCTGAGCCAGCGGAATTCTTTGGCGCCGCTGAAGGAAGCTCCAAGCCCCTGGACTTTAGTGGCTCCTCCCCAGGAAGTTGTGGCAGCACCAAGCCAGCGGAATTCAGTGGCACATTCGTTGGAGGAACCCCTGTCTGAGCCAACCCAATGGGATTGAATGACTCTTGCGAAGGAAACTCTGCCTGATTGGTGCCAATCTTGGCTTGATTTGTCCCACCCACTCCATCTTCCTTGCCACAAGTATCCTCTAGCATCTTGATTTTCTTCCAAGTTACCTACCACTTCACTGCTTTCCGCTTCAAGGGCTTGTACCTGGAGTCAGGTGGTAAAGTAAAGGGGTTGGCCGGCGTGTGATATTTTAATGAACCCAAAGGTCTTGGCGCAACAAGTAGTCAAGTAAGAACGAGAGAGCTTATCCCAGCACCCTTGCCTTGCAAAAGGTCTTGGGCGCAGATGGATCTTCAGAGCTTGGAGGAGTTTGCAAAGCAGGGACCTCAGGCAAAGGTCATGGGCTGATGAATCCAACCTAATGACCTAATGTTAATGTTGCATTTTCTCAGGCAAAAACTCGTGGAGGGGGAGTAAACACAGGAGAGCATTCCATCATCCTGTCCAAGTCCTGCTGCAAACTGCAGGGCCAGAACATGAAACCAACCCAAAAGTAAGGAGAGGACTCTAACGTGGTGATGCAAAACACACAAAGAAGTGGGATTAAACGGTATTCTGATGGATTCTGCATCAATCTCTCCTTCCCAAAGCCGTGCTGCGCCATGAGGCGTTCCAATGATGATGGCATGATGCACGACAAGGACAAACAGGTGTCCAAAACTGTTGGAAGGGCCTGGTGAGGAGGGCTTGATCCACTGGGACATGAAGGTTCAACCAAAAAGCTCAAGTAGCATACTACATCTTTGACACACTCCACTGGATGAGATTAGTCTGAAGTCCTTTTTTGGAAAACGACTCACTCACGGAAGAAGGCAGCCAGCCACTTTTTCAGTGAACATTCCTTCGGGTCAGTGAGTACCACACTGCCTGACAAAATGATTCCAGAAACAGGTGTCAACAAACGCCTTGAAACACTTCAAGATTGCTGGACTCGGTGACCACATAGCTATGTTTCTTGCCTCTTCCATGCGAGGCACAGGGTTTTGCCAAGCTTTGACCACCCTGAGCGTGAGTTTGGATTGCCCATGAAATGTAATGCTTTCTCAATGAATCCTTTCCTAAAAGCTGTTTGGCTGGAAAACTATTGTGACACTCCTCCAGGTTCAATAGAGTGGCAGCCCTTGGACCACTAGTTTAACTATGTTCTGGTCCCAATCGATCCTGTGCACAGCGCTTCCCACATGTTTGCACGAGCAGGACATGACACCTTGGTGTGCCTCAGCATGGATTGATGCTGTGAAGGAGGCAGCAGGCACAGCCTTAGCTGGAACTTATTCATAGCTTGCCGAGATTGCATGTTTGTCGTTGAGTCATTGTGGTTTGGATGTGGCTGATGCATCGATAAAGAGATCTGAAGATCTTGAAGATAAAATTGAAATCAGTTAGGCCAGCCACTGATAAAATGTACTGTAGGTCCCTCGGCCTTCAATGGATGACAATCCAAATGAAAACATGGAGGTGTTGGTGGGATAAAGTCAGTGGCTAAGTGACTAAGAGACAAAGAGTCATGGTACTGTTTGAAGATATTTGAAGCGCTTTTGTTCCATCTTGGATGCGCTAACCACGTCGGCTAGGATGCCTTTGCAGCTCTACACTGGACCGGGAAGATTGTCTCCAGGTCACTGAGGCACATCTTTTCCGTTTGAGGGGAGGTCGTGGGTCGGCTTCAGGGACTGGTTCATGGAGCTGTTCGCTTTGATTTTCACCATCCAGCCACAAGCTTCTAGCTGGAGGAGTCGAAAGCAAATTGGGGCAATAACCTTGCAGTGCGAGTGAGCATGTCAGTAACCGCAAGTTCTTAAAGAAAAGTTTCAACTGGCAGGAACTTTGTTTAAACATAATGATACCTCACCAGGCAACTGGTTCCATTGTGTTCTGCTTGACCAGTTGGATCTGAACCATTTGATGCTCTCCCACGCTTTCGGTCGGCACGTCTTTGCAGCTTGGTTTCCAACATGTTGAGCACCATGATTACGAGCGAATACAGCTGTTGAACAGACAGCTGTTGTAACCGGTCTTCTGAAAAAACATTCTCCATTCTTGAACCCAAATCTATGGCATGGACATGCTTGTAGGAAGTGGAATTTAAGAACACTTGATCAAGCTGCTCATGAGCAGCTGAGCCCGCCTGAAGTTTCCATTGACGAAGATCCATAGGGGCCTTCAAACAGAACAAGTAGCATCTTAGAATAGCAGAATCTAACAATGGCTTTGCAGGAAGACAATCAAACCTTCACACAAAAAAGGTTGCTGGTGTGCCTGGTTGGGTAAGCCTCCAGATAGGTCTGGGCTTGAGCAAAAGCCACTAACACCGCAAGACTATGGTGACCGGCAGAAATTGGAGAGTAAGTTGCATGAACCCAAATTCACAACGTACGACTCTGGTCAAGGGCAGGTTGAGTTGATCAAGAGACCATTTGAGATCATTGGGTTCAGTTCACAACTGTGCCAGGAGTACCACTCTCCTGCCGCTGCATGTTGGCAACCTTCTCAGACTTGATAAACTTGGAAGGTCCATGTGCGATTTGGAACTGTGAGTGGGAAATGGTTGCCTCGCAATGAGCCACCTAAGAGCAGAGCAAGGGTTCAGTCGGTGCAGCCCAAAGTCCACACTCATTAGAACAACAAGTGTTCGGGTTCACTAGCCAGGAGTTCTAACAGATTAAAGACTAGTTGCAATGAACAGCTTGAAGCGCTGACCGTCTATGATTTGATCAGTCGTTCCATCCCTCTTCGTAGCCTTCACTAAGTACATCGTGGTCCCTGGGCACCGCCCAGCGAATTTGGACTCAATGATATATTGGTCATTGAGCAACTGCATCGACTCTGGCTCAATCCAAGGTGTGCTCTTGATAGCCTGGGCTTCTTTATCTTCGGCCTCCTGCTTTGCAACCAAGGCAGCGTCCTTATCGCCAACCTGCTTGCCATACCTGAGTCAACAAGACAGGATGACACTATGTCATGTGGGTCCCCATGGTTTGGATAGTGCTTGTTGTATAATTTAGATGATTA